GGTGATCAAATGACAGCCATATGGAATCTGTTACAAGAAAATGAAATGGAGTTTAATGTTCTACTCCTACTGGGCTAATGAAGACGGTGAGGACGTGAGTGAGGGGAACACGCCATTGCAGTGTGCTATGAGAGGAAATTTTGCAAAACAGCCGTCCAACAGCCTAGTGCAGAGCCTACTCTTATTTCGAATTCCAACTGTCTAGGGTTCTTTTATGCGCACACGGGACATGAGTTTTCCATTCTACCCAAATGACTATGTTGTAACTTGCTAGGCCTCCCCTCGTACATCCGCGGGGAGGCTGGTGTGTATAACACAATGAATTTGCTCGGCCAATGCAGGAATTGAACACGGCACATCCAGTTGAGTGAGCCAACGTCCTACCCACTGAGCTACCGTGGCTCCCTGTTGCCAGAAAAGAGAATGGGCTAGAGTATAGGATGTCCAGTGCTCCATCCCCAGAATTCACTTTGTTTCGAGGATCATAGAACCTGACAATGATAAGTTGAATGAAAAACAATGTTGTGCGTACGTATTGGTGGCACACATCAAACATCCCTAGGTACCTACATATCGAGGAGCAGTGTCGGAAGTTGTTATAAGGATTAATTCTACCAGAATAAAGCAATACCCGTTATTTGAGGGCCATCATATGTGAATTCTATCTTAAAAAGTCTTCAACGCAAATTAACAAAATTTGGGGGTTTTATCCATGTTGCAGACCCAATATCAAAACAAATAAATTATATAGCCCAAATTTAAAAAATTCAATAGATAGTTAATGGTTGGAAGGATATTTCCTGAAAATTTGATGCCAATATCTCCAAAAGTTGCTGAGAAATGGTCTTCGGTCGCTTTTTTGGCATATTTTTTTAAAAAAAGTGTATACTGACATCAATCAATTTGGGGTCTTAAAAGTGCAATAACTTTTTTATTTGTTAACCGATTTTTAATTTTTGGGGGGTTTCTTAAATGGGAAGGGGGTTGGAATGCTACTAAATATTCAGTTTTAGTCCGATTGAAAAATATAAACAAGCTTTTGCATTGCTATACATAGCAACCACTGGCATCTTAGACTAGACATCATTATCATGGTTTATATGGTATTTTAGAGGATGGAAGTATGAACTTCAATTGTGTAAAGAAGAACTAGCTACAACATTGTGATAACAGTCTGCAAAATAAAATAATAAAGGCTGGAAACTTACATGAAACTCCCGAAGCGAAGTCATTTTTGTTGCCAAGAGTTTCTCCTCTTTTAGTCTAGGATAGCAGGGCGGAATTTATTCAATCACGTTGACATTCGTCTCGAAATACCGCAATAATACTAATTTCTTGTTCTTTTAAAAATCTTCAAACGTTAAAAATATTTTTTGTTGTCGATATCCGAATAACATTTTCTTTCATAATTCATTTACCAGCAACTCGAGACTCAAACATTTTAAATTTGCAGGTAATATTTTGAAAAATGAACGCAAGCGCGTGACCAAATAACGACTTTTTAAAATGAGTGTAAAAATGTTTCCTAAATACTTCCAAAGAGAATCTCCAAATATTTGTGCTACAATATCGATAAACACGTTCTTGTTACGTATTTATCGGGTGTTTATTGTCCATTTAACCATGCTTGAATTATCCATTAGAACAACTCGACGCTGTCGCGTCTCGTGTTCTAATGATTCAAGCATGGTTAAATGGACAATAAACCCCTCTAAATACGTAACAGGAAGTGTTTATCTCCTAAATATACCCCCTCTTAATACGTAACAGGAAGTGTTTATCTCCTAATTCGAAAACAAATAATAATGATGAGCATATTTGTGATAAGCATTTGGGTACTTATTACATTTGGCGATATATTCGATATGGAAGATAATAGTCGTAAAAACTGTGATGTTCTTAATATGGGGGATAATAGCTGTCAAAGTTGTGATGAAAAGGGTGCTCACGAAAATGATTTAAATATTGATAATATTCTTAGTACTGTGGTTAATATGGAGGGTAATATGAAATTCAATATATACTCTGATATAAGTGACAGTGACACAGGTTCATGGACATAAACCAATTCACGAAATTCAAACTCAACCGTCATTATTGTGTAACGGTGATATATTTGAACGGTTATTAAAATCTGATAACAATTGTGACCTGTATAGGTTTCACAAGCTAAAAACACGTCTTTTGTTTGTTCAATCAGGGGCCATAATCCAGGAAGTTACGGTCCGTATGTGCCAATATCGCAAGGGATCTAGATCTTTGGGTTATAAACATACAAGTTCAGTTTCATCAAAATGGGATAAAATTGTTACCTCTAAAGTGTACAATCATGGGCTATAATCCATATTCCAATACAAGCCAATATCGAAAGGAACCGAGATCTCTGGTATATTTATAACCTATATTTATGACATGTCGAGTGTCCACAAACAAAATGTGAACGGATGGTCATACGCGACGTCAATATATGTCCATATGGAAGTGTGGGCGTATAAAAATATGTTATCGATCAAGTGCCGAACGTACTAATAAACAGACCAGTGACATACCCAGGCGGATTTAAGGGGAATTCTTTATGTAGGAAAGAAACCAAAATTCGCGGACAGCAAAATAGACAATATGGAAACCGTAAATTCTATACATGGACAAACACGTGAAATCAACATTCGGTCATGTGACATTTCGATAACTATTAATTTTTAATGTAATTTCATGTACTGTAATTTAATTTGTTCAGAGAATAAATTATCCCAAAATACATGTTCATTTTTCAGATAAGTGTCTATTATTGGTTAAACTGTCCATTATTTACAATAAATAATGGACAGTTTTATAAATAATTGACGATTGTTGAAGAAAAGCGTACATTCTCCTATATACTGATTTGAAAAATATCAAAGGGTGACGTCATATCTATGTGTTAAGCTTGGTTATACATGTCAAATGAACAATTATAAACTGGTCAACAGTCGAATTTCAACAAAAACTTAATCTTTAAGGATTTTGTATTTCCCTTTAATTACATACTTGATTGAGAAACTTCAATCTCTAAATGGATTATCAAATACTCAAATAAACTCAAATTAAAAATAAATACATAGGTATTTAAAGAAATCATTCAGAAAATATTTAAAGAAATCATTCAGAAAATATTTAAAGAAATCATTCAGAAAATATCTAAAGAAATCATTCAGAAAATATTTGACTGAATTGGTATTTTGTAATATATTTTTAAAAACTACATACATGCAGATATATAAATATATCGCAATTCAGTTTAACAATAATACTTACTTATACATACACATTAAAAAAAGACATAAATTGACAAACAACACACTAAAATCCATCTAAAATGTAATAGTAAAAATAACATACGAAATGAAAATGTGAAAAGAAAATGTAAAAATATTTTAACTTCGGTTTCAGTTGAATAATTTTACTGTAGAAAAGTAAAGAGTTGAAAAATGCTGATTATCCTCCATATAAGACCCACATCTAATCGTATACATGTACATACGTTTTGTCTTATGAGGCTTTGTGTGATCTACTTATTATTTAGTTACAAATATCTTGTCTCGTGACTTCAAATAGGTAATTATACACCTAAGATGTAATTGTCTTATATCGGTAAAATCGTTAATTGTGAGGACTTACTTGGTTCCTATTGTAAGCAATATGAAATAGACCAAGTATTCACATATTCCGGTCTCTCTTTTTTTTTCACAACTAAACCCTGATGTATATATAAGGAAATTAACATCAATAAAATCGAATTTTCTCAACTATAACATTTTCACACAAACAACAAATAATACGAATAAGAATCAATACTTGACTAGATAGCTATATGGCGATATTGTATGCAATGTCAATAACTTCAGTTTATCACTTTTTAAATGTAAATAAACATACATAAAAAGTTGGAAATAACCCCTGAGTATGTACTTGATACTTTGTAGTCAATATTTAAAAAACTTTTCGAATATACAACAGTACCGAATTTACAAAAAACATTAAATGAGCTGATTATATCTATATTTATCACCCAATAATACATTCTACAGTAGATATCGCTTGTGTGATATATTTCATAATCTACTGCGATATCGCTTTACAGGAATTTGATTGGTTAGTTGAAAAGGAACTATTTTTTTTTATTTTCAAAGAACAGTTCATTTCTTATTAAAAGTAACTTTTTTTTAATCAAAAATGAACTATTGTTATTCAATTGACCTTAATAGAAACACTGGGTCAATATAAAGGACTTTGCAATGGTTGAATTGCTGTCAAAAAATGATGTATCACTACGCCGTAATGTTCAGTAAAAGTGAAATCTACAGCAAAGAATTATATTTATCTATTTGTGTATGTAAGAAGGGATTGGGTGATAAATAAAATCTCCTACTCGCCTTTTTTGATATCAACAAATATCAACACTCGTTGATAAAGTAAAAAATAAATCCGCAGAGCCTCGTTTTTTGTTACTTTATCAACTTGCGTTGATATTTTTTAATATCAAAATAGACTGGCAGGAGATTCTCTATATAGCCACGACGACTACTGCCAGGTCCCCATTGAGTTCACGATCTGATACGACCAATACGATTGCTATTACCTCAACATATGATAAGACCTGATAGGATCACCACGATTATTCCACGATTAAAACCACGGTTTTAACCCTAGCAAGAATCGTGATAGTAGGAACCTAGCATTACTAAAAATGTTGGTCTATGTTGTTGTGGTTTAGTACAATTGTCACATCCAATACATAAATTCTGATATTTGATTTAAATTAAGTATATTTACATTTGAAGGAGGCGCAAAAAAAAGAGAAAAAAAAAACAACATAAAAAAGTCTGTGTTCTATCGGCCGTGTATGTTTTTATTATCGTTGTTTTTCTTGTTCAAACGTATGCCTTCGTGAAAATGAATTTTACAATACAAAAATATTTAATCAAATCATAAAACATTAGTGCTTTTTTTTTTAAAAAAAAAAGGGAACATTTATTAAATCAAATAATATGGTTTTTCGGATCACGGACCACCATCACACGTTGATAATCAGTCTACTTGTTCTCTCAAGATAGTTGCACTATTTATATTTCTGCTTTATTAAAATTTATTTCAATCAGAAAATCATTGATTCCTTTAAAAAATTAAAGTATCGATATAAACAATTCCTCAAAGTGCATAGAAATTGATCAGAAGCAAATATCATCCAGAAAAATCGCAGTATGTTCAACTTTTTGAAATTTTTCTGAAGATGGTATTTTTTTACGGTATTTTCTTCTGTGACTGTTTTATATCGAAAAACCGAAATATCACCCAGGTCTAAATCCACGAAAAGCAAAGGTTCAAATTGGTGTGGTCTAGGTATAAAATGTATGCAGAAAGGATTACTGTATGTAAGAGAGAGATCAATGAGGTATATAAGGACAATCTGCGGCATCTGTCAATCTATGTAGCTCCCGTAATATATCTTTAAATCTGGGTCGATTCTCAGGTTTCTGCAAGAAAAATAAAAACAACATATTAACCAAATATTTATCCTTAAAGACGGCGGTTTTTTCTGCCAAGAAGTTTCCATTTCATCTCCAAACCAATAGTCCGGCAGCCAAACCCCATTTTAAGCCTTGACGTGCAAATATAGTCCACCTAACGTTTATTGATGGATTATATATATCTTCAAATCTTCAATGTGTAGATTCAGAATCCGGATGATGCCACACTGGCACCCTTGGGGAAATTTTCTGGTTACTTAGTGGGGTAAAATATGTGTCAGATTCTCTCGGACCTCGCCTTGAAGTGGATTTGTATGAGGAGTCGACCCTCTGGATCCAGTGAGTTTGAGTATTCTTCCTAAAGTGATGGCTAATTCCACTGGGGGGGGGGGGTTAATTTCAAATGCTCATTTTGGAGAGAAACTCGTAAAATTCCCTAAAAAGGTGTGTAATATATTGAAACATAGATTTTGGGTGGATAATATTATATCTTCGATGTAGATTCAGAATCAGGATGATGCCACCCTGGCACCTTTGGGAACATTTAAATATTCAAGATGGACGATATGAGGCATTTTCTGGTAACAATCCGTTAGTGGAGCGTTTCGCGATTGAAAACATAACAAAGCTAACACTTGTTTATTATACACAAGTACGCCACAAGGGTACTTATGGAGATGTTGTGCTTATGTATGATAAGCCAGTGATTGTGTTAGTTTTCTACTGTGAATACATTTCTGTGAATATATATAATCCAAATATGTAGAGGTGGAATAAATTCTGTAAAGCCGAATTCTTCGGATGAAACTTTACTATGTAAACGAGTGTATTAATTTCAATCAAGTACATTCAAATTTAACCTTAGATAATTCCGGAAGAAAGAATTTTCACTGATTAATAATTTAATTCCACTCGACACAAACTAGGTCCTTTCGGGACTAGGATATGGTTCAATATAATTTCAATAATTGGCCTCCTTCTAGTGGTCTTTAGCTGTGGGAAGAAAACGTAGGACCCGAAAAAAACACGAGGTTGGACAGGCGACCCTACTCCTTGTCACGTCACGTGTCTCAATGACAGATCTTCTGATTCAACACACGCAAGTTAAACAATTTGCGCCCCCCCCCAACATATAAAAGTGAACCTATTCTGTTATATACAGTAGTCTACAAAGGTGCTGTCAAATAATTCAGAAAGCAAACATAAAAACCAGGGATATGGACTGAGAGACAACCTATAATGTCTTTCAATAATAATTGAAAACATACCTCACTCCAACACTTTTTCATTAAACTGTACAATAATTCTGGACAGGAATCAGGTTTTTCTAATCTTTTATCCGAATCGACAATATAATCTACAATTTCTGAGTACTCCATTTTACCATACGGTGTTTCTCCAGCTGTAAATATCTCCCATACTAGTATACCTGTTCATATACAAATGATAAATACATGTTTAAAGGACAATATTGGTGCCAGTCATTATCACATATGTGATAGAACTGGTTAAACACGTTCCAAATATTATTTTATCACTGTGATCATTACTACGATAGATGAATAATCAATGCTTCAACAATAGGAAGTGACGAACGCAAAAGGAAAACACGAGTTATCACTCTATGTAACTGGCTGAAGTGACGGGTGATAACAGATACATGAGCGAATGTCTACTCACTAAAAATTCCTTCGAAGACCAAAAGTTGTTATATGAGACTGTAAGAGTATATCTGACAATTTAAAAAAGTAATTGCATGTCATTAGATAAGAGAACACGAGATAAATAGAAACAGTCCGTACATTCACGGGTGTTTATTCATTCTATACTTATAAAACATGGTGTAATGCACGGACTTTTTCTATTTTTCTTTCATGTTCTCTTATCTAGTGAGAGTCAATTTTGTTTATGAATTGACAGATATCCTTTCACAGTCCCATACAACAACTTTTGGTCTTCGAAGGAATTATTAGTGAGCAGAAATTCGCCCATGCATCTGTTATCACCCGTCACTTCATTCAGTTATATAAAGGGATAACTCGTGTTTTCCTTTTGCGTTCGTCACTTCCTATTGTTGAAACATTGATTACTCAGCTATCGTAGTAATGATCTCTGTGCTAAAAAAATATTTGGAACGTGTTTAACCAGTTCTATCACATATGTGTTAATGACTGGCACCGATATTGTCCTTTAAACCCAGCAATATACACATAACATATCTATACTCAGCAAATGTTTATACTATCGCAATATACAAATGACAAGTTTATACCCGGCAAGTGATAATAACATATCTATACCCCAAAAGTGCTTATATCATCACAATATAAAAATGATTTATACACAGCAAGTGCTTATACCATCACAATATACAACGAATAACAACATACCATACAAGCGCTTCTACCAGGAATAACTGGGAATTCCCCATTTCTAGAAAAACTAACACTATGTTAACTCGCAGGCAATGAAACATTCACGTAGCGAATTGTTTTTGCTGTTTCGATGTAAAACTTACCAAAAGCCCATACATCTGATTTGCTGCTGAATAATTTATAACACAGAACTTCTGGTGCTGCCCACTTGACAGGAAACTTTGTTCCAACAGAACTTCGATATTCATCATCCAACACATATCTAAAATATATCTCTGTATGATACATACCTAATTATATTTTAAATGTGATAATATGTACCAGAAAAACATGAATTGCCTACTCGTTCAGAGAGTATGGAAAAAAACAAATATCCACTTCAAGCACCTTTGCGAATATGAATGCAAAGAAGAGTAATGGAAAGCTTTTGCTCCTTAGCATTGCACGCGTCACTACAGAAAACTATACACTTTAGTCTTAAAATGGGCAAAGTATTGTTTTACTGAGATGTTATAACATCATTCCTTACAACCCTTAACAAAATAAAGCACAATACTTAACAACCGTAAAAATAAATGCATGAGTGACTTCAAACTCACAAAGATCACTTACAACTTTATAACTCTTGCACACATAAATGCAAATGTGTATAAATCATATGGTTATACCAGTACTTGTGCAGCTTGGGATTTGGCTCACTCCACATGTAAGCTGAAATTTTGTATTTTTTTTTCTAAATAGTGCTTCAGATTGTTTGCCATCGTCTTTATGCAGAATTAACCAGTTTTAATTAACATAAATAAAGAAATACCTAGCATAACCAATATCTAGACTTACCTAGCATTACCAATATCTAGACTTACCTAGCATAACCAATATATAGAATTAACTGGCATAACCAATATCTAGACATACCTTGTTTAACCGAAATATAAACACCCCATTTAACCAAAATATGAACATACCTAGTTTAACCAAAATATACACAGTTGGCGAATAACGAACCACGAACTAGTTTGTAGTTCGTCATTCGCTAGATATGGAATTAGTAGTATAAAAATGCTCGTTAGAGAGATAGCTTATTAGAATATATATCCTAAGATCTTGAAGTGATATAACTCAATTCAGCTTATAAAAACCCACACTGACGTACTGCTTTTAAAAGCGCCTTTATTGCATTACTAATTCTGATATTCGCCATTAACAAACTACAAACTATTGGTGAATAACGAACCACAAACCATAAACTAACTTCAAGTCGCTGAATATAGACATATCTTGTTAAAGGGGGACTGGGTAAGAAGATTGGATAAAGAGCTGACAGTTCTCGCTATAATAGTTAAAATATAGATAATGAAAACCGAAAATGCTAAAAAGTTCAGCCAAATTGCTACACCCTGAACCAATTAAGATATTAACGATTCAGTTTTCGGCTAGGCTTGGTTATCAGTACTAAAGTTGGTTTTATAATAAACAAAGTCTCGATTATCCTTTTTTACGTTCAATTATCCATCACAAAATGTATTCAAATCCACTAAAGATCGCAGGCTAACAATGGCATCGAGAGTTGATTATATCCTGGATCAATTAATTAATATCTAATTAAAGATACTTCCCCGCGTATAAACTGTGTGATTTGATGATATATTTGGACTAAAAACATATTCAAACTAATTAATCTGTCAAAAATTTGATTCACAGCCCTCTCAAAACTTTGCATTCGTCGGAAGATACCACAAGCTATAAATAAACTGCGGTTAGACATCTCAAAGTCAGTCATCTCAATTCATTGTGGGAGGGTTCATTTTTCAGAATGTATTTTCCGTTACTCACTGTCCAATCCATTTATCATACATTTTAAGGCCTAAGTAAATTCTTAATTATTTTCTGTCAACTACATTTTCCGCCGTTTAATTGCAGAGTGTTTTGTACGTTGGCACCCCTCAATGTTCCCGAAATCGTCTTACCATGTAATCAAGAAATAACAACCGCTCCCTCAGTCAAGCTAGCACACAATAAGCTGGCAGACACCAGTCGGTTTGCCAGTTAGTGATACCCTGACATTTTTGCCCAGTGCTCAATAGGCAGATTTAGCTCTTGCATAATACATGTTTAAACCAACATTAAAGCTTTCCTTGTTAAACCAACATATTATAGAGATACCCAGTTAAACCAAAATATAGACTTACCTAGATAAACCAAAATCAGCCACTTTAATCACCTGGTTTTCTCCCACCAGACAATTTCTGGCCGCTAAGTCACGATGTATAAATCCTCGCTGTTCTAAATAAACCATTCCTGAGCACACTTGTAAACAAAAATCTAACATGGTCGCCGACTTCTTTAATATTGTTGTCTTATGACGCTTCAAATACGTTGATAATGCACCTGGAAAGAGAAAGGGTATGATAAATTTTGAAAACTATGCACTAGCAATCAAGCATGTCGCTATACGCTGAAATCGTGGAAATGTGACATCAAAAATCAAAGTTTATCGATCGAAGTGCAATTGTCAAAGGAACAAGCATGTAAACCTTCATGTTGATCATACTTCAGTTGGTGGAGAATCCGGGTTATTTCAAAGAGTGTCGCCCTCAAGCAAGAACAGTTTAATTTAAACGTACCATTTCTCATTAATTCTGTTATAATACAAAATGGCTTTGTCTTCGTAACAACACCATATAACTGTACAAGGTTCGGGTGACTTAATTGTCTGCAAGGAAAATAATCATCAAAAACTTAAATATCTTCTTGTATAAATCAGTTACCAGTTGAAGTTTTTGGATATGACAGCACTCAAAAACAAAGACTATTTACATAGACTATTTGATTATTATTGGTTTTGATCATTACTTTAGCCGATATAATACAATTGGTTTTGCTCGACTAAACTGCACATTTAGTCAAAATTGAGTGTACAAACTCAAAAACTCAACATCGCCTGTTAAACATCTCATTCTGTCTGCAACATACACAGGTGTTTACAACCCTGTAAGTGTTACTTACGTCATTGTTCTAGCCTCGTCCATAAAACCCGCCTCAGACATACTTAAATCTTTCATTGTTTTAACAGCCACCGGAAGGCCATTAAACAGGCCTTTATATACGATCTGAAAATATAATTAAAACTTGTTAATCCATATGTGTAGCTTAATCTTAGCAATAAAACTGCTGGATCAGATGACACCCATTTATAGTCCAGTTTCCTCATTCCACCAAGGGCTATATCACAGTCAATATTAATACAGTTCACATAAGTCTATATGTACTATAATATATATTTTCTGGACCAGGTGGCGCTCTTCGAAGAAAGAAAGAAAGAAATGTGGTTTTATGGCACGTCAGCTCCAACCGGGCTATATTGCGCCAAAGATATGGTGAATATTACGAGACAGGCTCAATTATATCACAGAAAATCATTATATGCATAAATAAAAACAATATCACAGTTTGTAAAATTAAAAATAAAATACAACTTTTATGCATATAAATATTAAATACAAAAATGAAATAATATATATATACAATTAAAACTTATGATATAATCCTGTCTCTTTTAAAAAGTCTAACGCTTTACCATATAATCCCGATTGGGCAAATATGTGATGTAATGACTGACAACGGTGAAAATTCGATCTAATATTCTTGAAATGCTTGCACTCAATCAAAATGTGCTTAACTGTCAAAGGAACATGACAGTCTTCACATTCTGGTTGAGGCTCTCGCTTCAAAATGAAAATATGAGTTAAAAAAGTATGACCAATGCGAGAGCGACACAAAACAACCTTATCCCTCCTGTTGGTTCTATAGGAGCTTGGCCAGTCTCCTGATGAAGTTTATTTGTGTCTGCAAGATCCCAAGACCGTTGCCAGCGGTCATATATAAAAAAGTTAATGGACGATCTGAAATCGGTGAAAGGCAAAAGAAATTGTGACATGGGAAGATCTAAAGCAGACTTGGCAGCTAAGTTTGCTTGATCATTCCCTTTAATATCAACATGATTGGGGAGCCAGCAAAGGACGGTGTCCTTGCCGTTAAACTCGTGTGATAGTAGCAGATACAAGCTGCTTATTGTTTATTGCCTGCATGATTATTGCCTCCATGTAAAATCCTGAAACAGGACCGGAGAGCAAATGGTTAGATCAAGGGAAGAAAAAGAAGCTGTGGCAGGATGTAGATAAGTAGGCGAGTCATCATTTAATAATTGTTAATGTTAATGAAGTCCGCTATTTGTTTACCTCTGATATTATCATCTGGACTACCCCAGAGTGAATGGTGACCACTGAAATCTCCCGTTATTATAAACGGGAGGGGAAGTTGCGCAACAAGGTCATAAAGATCTCTGGGGTTCAGATGTAAACTAGGTGGTTAATATACAGAGCAGAGTGTGGTAGGAATATGTAGAGTGACCCTCACTGCAACTGCCTGTATAGGCGATTTGAGGGTGACTTTACTCTGCGGAACATTTCCATTAAGGAAAATGGAAACACCACCGTGTGCTCTACCATCATTATTAGCAAAATGATGACAGGCAACAAAATGTGTCTCAGTGTTAAGATATCTGAATTCTTTAAAAAAAATTTCTTGCAAACAAATAGCTATGGGGATAAATTTTTGAATTAATATTTGAACTTCTTTAAAATTTGGTTTAAGACCACGACAATTACATTGAATTGTGGAATTGGCCATTTTCAGGGAGGTTTAACAGGAGTTCTGTGATGTTGTTTGGGGTCATGTATTTCTACAACAACATCCATGAGATTGTCCTGTATCCCGAACCTGTTAAAGGTTCCGACAGGATCCTCGTCACCCTTCCTACTACGGAAGGTACTTAATTTTGAACTTTTTGAAATGCCCTTACGAGAACGTTCCTTGTTAGTGTTTTTGGGTTGATCTCCACCAAGTGGTTGAGGAGTGGGGGGCACAGTCTCCTCAATCCCAGACTCCCCAGACTTATTATTAGTCTGGGTGCTGAGGGAAACATTGACATGTTTTGGAGGTATAGGTTTCTTCTGTGACGAGAATTCCGTCGCAGCCGGAAATTCAGCAGGTGTCTGACAAGCAATGGAAGTGGACTTCGGCTTGGCTGCATTTGCAAAAGACATTGCAAATGTTGGGGTTGCAGCCTCAACCAACTTCCTTGCTTCAGGATATGGTATGTTTTTTTCTGTTTTGACCTGCTGAACTTTTTTTTTTCTTCCATGTAGGGCACTCTCTGGAATAAGCAAAATGAGGCCCTTTGCAGTTAATACAACGGTGGTCGGGTTGACAAGATGTACTTTCGTGACTATCTTGTCCACATCGAGCACACGTTGCGTTCCCTTTACATACGTTTTTACTTTGTCCAAAGCGCTGACAATGAAAGCAACGCAATGGATTTGGGATGTAAGAGGTAAGTGGAATGGCAAGAAAACCAGCTTTTATCATCCTAGGTAGATCTGGTTTATCAAAGGTCAGGATATAGGTGTTGGTTTGGATAATATTACCATTACGTCTGATGGATATACGTTTGACGTAGGTAACACCTTGTGAGGCGACCTTAAGCAATCAAGAAAGGAGTGGTTTTTGCTAAATTAGTATCATCCGTACTCTGTATAACCAGAAATATAGGCCAGGTTCGGGTTTTTTTTATTTGGTATATTATTAGGTTCCGTATCCTCGGTCGACATACGTTTCAAACGAGTCTTCTTTGACTGGGAAGCCATTAATGTAATTTTAAAAGATTCATCCCTGCCTGCTCTCCAACCACCAAAGGGTTACAATATCCATGCAGGCTACTGCGCGAATAGAGTAGTAGGCACGTAGGACACAAAGGTAGAACTGCAACAAATACATTACAGAATCAGAGCATAGTCTATTCTCGACTGAAGAGCCGACTCTTTGGGGCTTGACATCTGACAACGGCCAATGAGTATAAAGAGGGGATCAGGACGAGGGTAAGTAAGTTAAGATGGAACCAGGGCCCAAGCTAAAACCAGAACTAGTTGGAACTAGGAGAAGGCCAAAGCGCTGACCTAGCAGTAAGGCTCCCTCAAGACAATCTTACTAAGGAGGCGTTCCCTTTAAGAAGTTCTGTACATTATATGTTTGGTAGAATGCTAAAAGTATTATATGGAGTTGTATCTTGAAGAACCTGACGAACTAATAGTGTAACCCATGCCCACACACAACTGATCACTAAACGAAGTGATGACAATATACGCCAACTATACTGTAGGCATATAAAATATTTGAATCTACAATAATTTGATCACGTCTATAATATTCACACAGGCACTTCAAACATGAAGCGTGATCACTTGGCTATTCGTATCTTTGTTGTACCGGAAGTAAGACGAAATGAGGTCAACGACTTCATGTTGGGGAAGCACTGATTTATGAGTGGTCGAGGCGTGTTACTAATACTAAAATTGACCTTCATAGCTGATCGCGAATTAAGAATCTCAGAATGGCAGCTGAATACTCTCATTGCTAGGTAACATACATAGGAAAATACATACTTAGGAAATTTAACTGATCAGAAGTAAAATGGCTTTATAAAGGTGATATCTATAATTAAACAATTTTATTTTTGCAATTTGTATAGACGTAAAACAGTGTATGTGTGTGTGTGTGTGTGGGGGGGGGGGCATATCTCTCAGGTAGGCAGGTAAAGTGATAAAAAATTAATATATTTTTGAGGAAAAAAAACCATTTTGCCTTTTATTCGGCAAAAATGAAGTGCCCGAAATAAAAAAATATCAAAAAAAACCGGAGATCTCTGATCAAGTTTACGCCGATATCTGCTATAATAGATTTTTCAAGCATCGATCATTATAAAAAAATTATTTGTTTCATCACTTTTTCAGAAACCGTTATTTTTTTAAATTGACTAATAAATTTAAAATATTTAAAATCAGTGTAAAACAGTGTCTAGTGCCTCCCTATAACTTCAAAAGCCTGATATTTTTCACCGGGCAAACACGCATGTTTGTGTTTTGGTGCTGTCTAATCACCCAGTCCCTAGACAAATTTCGAGTAAGGGTAGGTTTATAAAGGGACTGGGTGATACAGACTGCTACAAACAAAAGCAAAAGGGAATTCCTTTGATCTCAGTTCGTCTTACTTCCGGTCCGTCGAAGATATACGAATAGCCAAATGATCACGTTTCAAGTTTGATTTTTAATAACTCTGTAAAATGACCAATTTGATTACATTGGAAGTTGTATAATGATCAAATAAACTCTCGTTGGCAATAAAATGACTGGAAATGTTAGAACTAGTGAGTATTGTGAGATGATAGCAAACGAAATATCTTGAAAGCGTGAAATTAACATGGCCAGTGAGAAACTTTCTATGATACTGTAATATATAGTCAAGCAGTAGTAAGAAGTTTTATATTAATCCCTTCAAGTGCCTGTGAATACTCATGACAAACTGATATAAACAAAAACATATACAAGCTAACAGCGAGACTGATGGCCACCGCTGCATACTAATTAATTGCACATTCATCTTTTTGGCAAGTATCGAGCAGAAAATGTTCACGGTCGAACTCGGTCGATTAAAAGCAGGGTTGTTATGTTTCAAAGTCTTGACTAAGCAAACTGCTTTTGGCTACTTAGGCTAAGCAGGTAATTCCCATATTGATATAATGAATCTATACCCTGAGTGTCGCCAATCGCACCCAATTAGAACCAATGTTATCGTATTCAAAAGTCTTAACCATTCAAATTGCTCATCTCTGCTTAGCCTTATTGAAAAATGAGCATGATCGAACAGTGTCAAGGCATTCGCCTAATAAACACCTACACCAGGTTTGAAAATTGTGTATTCCAAAGTCTCGACCAATCAGTTTTGAGTCTCTGGTTAGCCTAACCAGAAACTAGTCATCATGTAACTTAGTCAAGGTATTGATGTAATGAAACTATACGCCAAGTTTTACCACTCTCACTTACTTAGAACCAAAGTTATCGTGCCCCAAAGCATGGACCAACCAAATTGTTTAAGCGCATGATCATACTCCATCAAGGCATTCAACTAATAAACACCTAAACCAGGTTTATTCACTCTAGCTGACTTAAATTAGGAAGGCTGAGGGACAATAAATGAATATAAATTTATAAAGATGATAATATAAGCATGACAAACAATAATATATATCTAAATATAAGTAATACGTACACCAAAACAACCAGAAGCAAGCTCTTCACATATTTTTAAAGTAGCTGGATCAATTTCCCATTCGCCTGTTACCAAAAAAGAATGTAGTATTGTCGGCCAAATAATGTATACACAAACCAGCAGCCTTGAAGGGCATCATAGTATATTGTGGTATAAAGTAACGGAGAAATAACTCCATATCTCCGTAGAAATGGATTAAGAGGGTTGTCGACAATTTTTCTAATTAGTTGGATATTTTAGTACAAGTTATTTGCAGTTAGTAACTAGAACACAGACATGCTATGACAATAACTGCATACTAATAACGAATAAACATTTGGAAATACAATTACCTTGCATTAAACATATAGTGAACTGCTAATGAATGCCTAAAGTCAAAAATCTGACAAAGGACAACGTATAGTTGTTCGGGTGTGACGAATAATCAAGGTCCAGTATGCACCTTGGCGTACACGTAAGAAAACCGTATAGTGGCGCTAGAGCCTACTCTTATATTGCATTTCAACTGTCAGAGGTTCTTTTACGTGCATGCCAAATTGTTTTGTACCCACAGGCCTTAAATTGAAATGATCGGAATGTACTCTACTCTACGGAAGATTTATTGCTGTAAAATATATAATACATTTACTTACTGTGATCCAAATCAGCTGTTGTTGGTTTATTAAGTTGGTTTGGTGGTTCTCGTAATCTGGTAATCAAACCTAAAATAGTATATGTGTATGTAAATAGCCAAAGTAGAGAGAGAGAGGGGGTCATTTCGTGAGTACATGTGATCAAATGTATGTAGGCACAGGGCACTTTAACCAATGGAGGAACCCGGAGACCACAGAGAAAACCCATGGTATTGGAATAAACAATATTATTACAATCCAATCAAACCACATCACGCTGCATGTTACTTTATCCATTGCACAACAAGTTAAACTAAATCTTTGATTTATCTTTTATAATCTCTACTGCCATCTTGCTATTTTCTTCGATAGTGGTGTTCAGATGGCCTGACTTGACTGACCACTGTAATGCGCTACATTTTAAAAGCCGTTATATCAGAGTGACTCTTATGGCTTGATTATTAGAGTATAATATAACAGAACTCTCACTAATGATAAGATTATTATGGTAATTCAAAACCCAGGACTATCTTGTCACAACTTAAAACATTCCCTCACAGTACACTGCAAGGTACGTCCCTTCTTCATTAGTTCGGTTTGGTGTAGAAAAATAGGAGTTTAAATCCCATTTCATTTCATACCAACGTTCATATAACCGGTCATTATCAAATATACAGCGAGTGCTCAATGTTTAATCATTTGTGTATGTTTACATTGTGAATAATTTCCAGTAAAAGTGTTATCCTACCTCCGGAATTATGCTTATGGTAATGTATAAGTTCAGGAATGGTTTCAAAACAATGTAGATGAGAAATATAAAACATGTCTTTGGCATTCTTCATAATATGGTAATGTGATACAGTGTCTCCCCTGAAAGATTCAAACGTATAAACATTCAGGAATCATGTGCTGCTTATGTTTATGTTAAGGGTAATTACACATACATTATGCAAGAGCTAAATTTGCCTATTGCAGGTCTTTCTTTAGGCACGAAATGTTATATAAACTACTATTAACTAGACATGTATTAACAAAACAAGACCATAATCGACTCTCGATGGCATCTGATACTTGAGATATTAACTAGATTAAAACTGTTCGCCATTTGAAAATTCAATTTAAAAATGGGAAAGAGAGGCTAAGTCCCGATTACCACTGTGCACATATCTTGTCAAAACTACAAACCATGATAACTTGTCTGAGAATGAAGTAATTTGAATGAAATTTTCCATATTTTCTTTTTTTATCATCTATGTTTGAATTATTATTGCAAGAATGACCAATTTTTTTTATTAAACTCTTAACTAATGTATCTTTTATTACTCAACACTGCTCAAGAAACTAAACAGTTATAAACTCAACACCAATTATCTATGTAAGATGCGCCCACATTTTACAAGAGATGGACAGAAAATAAGCTAAGTCGTCCAAGCAGGGGATGAAGGATGTCCCATAGTTATGTTTTGAAGTTAATGGGAACATTTACAAGACACAGGCATCGATTTCATACAGATCGAATGCTCACAAGGTTTAACTAATTGAACTAAAGACAGGATGATTATTTTGTTCGACAGATCGTTCACAGGGTTCAATAAGGTGAAAAAATTGAAATGATGTGAGACTGATGACACATCAGCCCCAACCGGGCTATATTGGGCCACACATATGATTTTAAAGATACATTATGGGAGACTCGATAACAAGTTGGCAGTTCTCACTTTAATAGTTAAAAACTAGATAATGTAAAGGAAATTTCCGTCTAGTCTCTATCATCATTACTAAAGTCAGTACGATAAACAGCTAATGGGTTGAAATTCTAGTTTCAATTAATACAAGGATGCATTTGCTGGCCAATGTTCCCTATAATTTCCAGTACCCAGTGTGCGCAAAAATGACACACATATTTCATTCCTGTGACAATAGTATGTTCTAATATAGACAAGTACGAAGCGATGTATAAGATTTGAATACTGTAATGACCAAATTGCTCTAATACATGTCGCACTAGAGCTCTACTTACAAGGGTAATTAGAATTGTCCGTTGCTATATCTTTCTTTATAATAATATTTAATATCTATTTCTATATTACAAACACTGGTTTCGTTTGGTCAAGGGTAATAATTTTAGCACCGTTATGCCTTCTGACAAGACTACTTAATTGTTGTTGTGCATCGACTGCGAGTCTGTATCTGCCGTTTATTCTGGAACATTAAACAGTCTGATTTGTTCGTAACTAATTGTGTATCGAATGCGAGTCTGTACCCGCTGTTCATTCTGTAGCATTATATATAGTCTGATTTGTATGTAACTTACCTGTCTTTACCCGTCTCCGTGTAGATGGAGACTGTGTATAAACCAGGATGACTGGTTGAATCCCGAACTAAAAAACTTCCCTCTACTGCCTGCTTCTTTAATATAGATTTTGTTCTATCACGAGTAATGTCTTTATAATACCAGCTACCGAAAACATAAATGTGATTGTAAACAAACTATTATTTATCTTTTAATGTAAACACTGTTTATGTAATTAAGCACTTTTGAATATAAAAAGTAGTCTGTCAGGTAATGACACATATTCCCCTAGCAGTAAGTATCCCAGGTCGTCCAGAGAGGTCGTTACAACTGATCAAGAGTAACAAACCCATGCAGTAACAATCAGTGAGAGTGGTTTTACATATGTTAGGCCTGTTCCCCAATCCCATTCAGTCAGAAATAATTAAAGTTTGATTGGCTTCTAGCGCTTTTCCTAAAGTGAAGGTAACAGTTTTCGGTGAATTTCGCATATGTTTAGCACTGATGTAGGAATTGCATAGCACCTCAGATGAAAGCAAACGTCTTCCAGCAAAATGCCCCATCGCTAACCGCTTCATCTTTATTACCCGGAAATTACTGTAAGAATTTTATTACCCAGTATAACAGCCAATCAAGACTAATTAAGTTCCAAAAACCGTACTTTTCACAAATAATACCAGTACATACCGATATTTTTCAAGACCATGTTTCTTTTTATCATAAATTGAAGGGAAATAGCCTCTTGTCCTGAAAATAATATAAAAAAATTATATTAGATTTTTAATTGGCCTTAAGACTTTATATTTGACTTAAATTCTAGCATAAAGATCTTTAAATGTTTTGTAGTATCAATCAGAACCTTTTAAAGTTGCAATCTTATAACGTATCACATGAGAACATATCTCAAGATCCGATGTGATTTGCATAGTTCAAAAACAGAATAATTATGTTTTTGGTAATAATTATTGTAAATAACTTGAGAGTTGATAAATATTAAATTATAAGTGCAAGTTAACATTAAGTGCTATCCTTATTTGTTTTATAATTGTAGATTACTATTGAGTTGATCAATATTTTTTGATGAAACACTTGAATATTTTGTCCTTACTTGTTTGGGTTTTCTGCTAGCAACCGATGTTCTGATTTTTTACCTAATATCCTATATGCCACCCCCTATAAAAATAAATATATCAATAATAGTATATTCCCATCCTATAGTAGTATACCCCCACGCCCCATCCCCTATAAAAATAAATATAGCAATCCCCTAAAAAAATAAATATTGCAATGCTAGTATAACCCTCTCTCAATCAAAGTAAAAATAAATACTTACCAGAAAGCACACATTCGTGTTTCAACCTTCGAAACTTTGTCCTTAGTAACTTATTAATATGTGAACTATATTTTAGAATCAGTATGCAAAAAAAATAATCAAAAACAGAGCTATCACTACACAATTTTGCCACTTTGTCAATTGTTATTCTATATTATTTACTTACTTGTATTAATTTTAAATCGCCATCTTCTGACGGTTTAAAATCATGAATAGCTATATGTGCTGCTTTATCTTCTTTTGATGTTTCGGGATCATTTGTAGATGGTGGACTTGGTCCTGGTAGTGCTCTTTTCATCATGTTATTGCTTACACCTATCACAAATATAGATTTTAGACGTATGTTAAGCAGACTGTAATAATATAAGTACTGAATTTCTGCTATATATGAACAAAAACGTTGTTTGCATTATATTATATAGATAGCAAATACTAAGTTTAAAGATGCATTATGTACCAGTTAAATCTGTCTACTGCAGGGAATTATTTTGGCTTCAAATGTTATATAAATTTTTATTCAGACATTTATTCACATGCCAAGCCTATAATCAATTTTCTAGAGCACTCGGTGGTGCACATGTAAAAGGACAGAAATACGATAGCCATTTAATGATTTGCTTTAAAAATGGGAAAGCGAGACTGAGTCTCCATGACCATGTAACGTTGCTACCAAAATAAACCTATGCCAAAACTTCAAACAGTCATAGCGATTTCAGAATAAAGTAATTTGACTGAAATTTCGATATATTAATTTTCAATTATCTATTTTGGAACTATTATAGCAATTACAACCAGCTCTTTATCTAAATCTTGATCTTTATCTTCAAACAGGATATAATATAGCACCTTGAAAAATGTCCACTCGCTAATTTGATCTACACAAAATTATAACCGGAAATCTCCAGAAAAAATACAAGCAAAAAAAAGTGTATATATAATCTTCACAGCTAAAATCTTTTTTTTTCTTTATATCTACTGTTTGTTCTACAAATTGAAAACAGGAAAACAGGTATGGCGACTGCTTAGGGCGTTAACTTTTTTTTTTATTTAATTATTTCTGTAGTTTTGTAATCAAAATTCAGCTTTAATAATAAATAGGTTTTCGTGACCATTTGTTCCGGAGTTATGCCCCCTTAGCCAAAACCGTTGTGAATGTGATAGCGGCTAACATGGTTTTCAAATTTGGTGGGCAACATTGATTCCATGAGCGTACGAACACTGTCAGTATTTAACGTCGCTATAGAAAACACATCACTTTTTTTTCCCAAATATTTTATTACTAGGTGGTTTTGTATGTATAATATTATGCAATACTATAAACTATTGTTTCACACAATGCTCCCAAACACAAAAAATATCGGCCCGTGTGCAAAAAAAAAAATTGCACAAGATGCACATGAAAAACCCAATATTCACGTGCAGCATTGTGTGTGAGCCCTTTAAAAGCATGTTTTCAACTTAATGTGCAGTACATGAACTGTGAAACGTCAATCTTGGACGTGTGAAGAAATCGAGCTAGAGATGCCGAGACTTACTGAAAATCAACGGAATGAAGCCATGGGAATGTCCAGGGCTGGCATGTCTACACGTGCTATTGCCAGACACTCCAATTGTCATCAGTCCACTAACGTCTTGGTCAACAACGCGTTACAACCCAGACTCAAGACCGCTACATCCGGACCAGTAAGTGCCAACACCGTAAGACGTCGTCTAAGAGAAGTAGGACTGCGACCCTATGTTGGAGCTATCCTCAGGGATCATCACCGTCAGCGGCGTTTGATATGGGCTCAAGGACATCAGACATGGAGAAGAGTAGACTGGCAAAGTGTGCTCTTCAGTGATGAGAGTCGCTTTTATGTTTATCACGCTGATGGCCGTCAACGTGTGTGGAGACGTCTTGGGGAACGTCTTGCAGACTGCTGCGTCTCCGAAACGGATCGATGGGGTGGGGAAAGTGTAATGGTGTGGGGAGGCTTCACATTTCATCACCGGACCGCCCTACACATTTGCAGGGGTCGTACTTTTGGTTTTGACCCCTCTGACTTTGTACCCTTGATTACAGATTAAACATCCATCAGTGTAGAAATGTGTTGTTATTGATGTGTTCCCATTTGAATATTATTCACAATAAGAAGCAAAATAAATAAGATATGTTTACAGGATCATTTTGTTATACGAAAAACTAAGTGATGCGTTTTCAATGGCGCTCAGTATATAATCTTTCAATTCCAAGTTACCCCACCTTTATTGAAAACCATCTTAACGATTTAGAGGGTACAGTTTTTAACATATTTTTTTCGATGTGAAATATTGGGACAATGAGACAAAGAGCCATACTGATATTCCCAATTCTCTGTCCATGTTTTTTTCAAAATGTGGGCGTATCGTGCATGACTACTGTAAAAATATCGGGAGCAAAAATGCATTTTGGTATAAAATTCTATAAACTAAGTACCTGTACTCTTTTTACTTTCTGAAGATCCAATGTAGTATACTTCCTGTTCGTCATATTTTCTCTGTTCGTTCTCTTGGAGTTTGGACGATAAGGCTTTTATTTGCAACTGCAAGGTTTGGTTTTCATTCTCAAGGTCGGCTTTTCTTTCGTTAGAGTTTTCCTCATCTTAAAAATATAATTTTAATAACATGTTTTAATAAATACTTTTTAAAGCGAGAACTCGTGTAGGGTTAAATTAAAAATTTATCTACGTAACATCCATATACAAATAATCTCTTAAAGCCAGGTTAATTTGTCATTATTAATCAGCTTTTTGTTGAATAATGTAGAAATTAGGACTGTTAGCTCTAGTTTATATCCCTATAATGTCGCATATTGTAAACTATGGAACCCAGCTGTGATCTTTTTGTAATCTTCAGCCTTCATCCTCGACTTCTTGCATTTTCGCGTTTGAAACCCCTTGCCTTTCTCGACTTGCAGCCCTTCTGCTTGTCACCTCTCGACTACTCGCTCCAGTTTAAGATGCATTATGTACCAGTTAAATCTGTCTACTGCAGGGAATTATTTTGGCTTCAAATGTTATATAAATTTTTATTCAGACATTTATTCACATGCCAAGCCTATAATCAATTTTCTAGAGCACTCGGTGGTGCACATGTAAAAGGACAGAAATACGATAGCCATTTAATGATTTACTTTAAAAATGGGGAAGCGAGACTGAGTCTCCATGACCATGTAACGTTGCTACCAAAATAAACCTATGCCAAAACTTCAAACAGTGATAGCGATTTCAGAATAAAGTAATTTGACTGAAATTTCGATATATTAATTTTCAATTATCTATTTTGGAACTATTATAGCAATTACAACCAGCTCTTTATCTAAATCTTGATCTTTATCTTCAAACAGGATATAATATAGCACCTTGAAAAATGTCCACTCGCTAATTTGATCTACACAAAATTATAACCGGAAATCTCCAGAAAAAATACAAGCAAAAAAAAGTGTATATATAATCTTCACAGCTAAAATCTTTTTTTTTCTTTATATCTACTGTTTGTTCTACAAATTAAAAACAGGTATGGCGACTGCTTAGGGCGTTAACTTTTTTTTTTATTTAATTATTTCTGTAGTTTTGTAATCAAAATTCAGCTTTAATAATAAATAGGTTTTCGTGACCATTTGTTCCGGAGTTATGCCCCCTTAGCCAAAACCGTTGTGAATGTGATAGCGGCTAACATGGTTTTCAAATTTGGTGGGCAACATTGATTCCATGAGCGTACGAACACTGTCAGTATTTAACGTCGCTATAGAAAACACATCACTTTTTTTTCCCAAATATTTTATTACTAGGTGGTTTTGTATGTATAATATTATGCAATACTATAAACTATTGTTTCACACAATGCTCCCAAACACAAAAAATATCGGCCCGTGTGCAAAAAAAAAAATTGCACAAGATGCACATGAAAAACCCAATATTCACGTGCAGCATTGTGTGTGAGTCCTTTAAAAGCATGTTTTCAACTTAATGTGCAGTACATGAACTGTGAAACGTCAATCTTGGACGTGTGAAGAAATCGAGCTAGAGATGCCGAGACTTACTGAAAATCAACGGAATGAAGCCATGGGAATGTCCAGGGCTGGCATGTCTACACGTGCTATTGCCAGACACTCCAATTGTCATCAGTCCACTAACGTCTTGGTCAACAACGCGTTACAACCCAGACTCAAGACCGCTACATCCGGACCAGTAAGTGCCAACACCGTAAGACGTCGTCTAAGAGAAGTAGGACTGCGACCCTATGTTGGAGCTATCCTCAGGGATCATCACCGTCAGCGGCGTTTGATATGGGCTCAAGGACATCAGACATGGAGAAGAGTAGACTGGCAAAGTGTGCTCTTCAGTGATGAGAGTCGCTTTTATGTTTATCACGCTGATGGCCGTCAACGTGTGTGGAAACGTCTTGGGAAACGTCTTGCAGACTGCTGCGTCTCCGAAACGGATCGATGGGGTGGGGAAAGTGTAATGGTGTGGGGAGGCTTCACATTTCATCACCGGACCGCCCTACACATTTGCAGGGGTCGTACTTTTGGTTTTGACCCCTCTGACTTTGTACCCTTGATTACAGATTAAACATCCATCAGTGTAGAAATGTGTTGTTATTGATGTGTTCCCATTTGAATATTATTCACAATAAGAAGCAAAATAAATAAGATATGTTTACAGGATCATTTTGTTATACGAAAAACTAAGTGATGCGTTTTCAATGGCGCTCAGTATATAATCTTTCAATTCCAAGTTACCCCACCTTTATTGAAAACCATCTTAACGATTTAGAGGGTACAGTTTTTAACATATTTTTTTCGATGTGAAATATTGGGACAATGAGACAAAGAGCCATACTGATATTCCCAATTCTCTGTCCATGTTTTTTTCAAAATGTGGGCGTATCGTGCATGACTACTGTAAAAATATCGGGAGCAAAAATGCATTTTGGTATAAAATTCTATAAACTAAGTACCTGTACTCTTTTTACTTTCTGAAGATCCAATGTAGTATACTTCCTGTTCGTCATATTTTCTCTGTTCGTTCTCTTGGAGTTTGGACGATAAGGCTTTTATTTGCAACTGCAAGGTTTGGTTTTCATTCTCAAGGTCGGCTTTTCTTTCGTTAGAGTTTTCCTCATCTTAAAAATACAATTTTAATAACATGTTTTAATAAATACTTTTTAAAGCGAGAACTCGTGTAGGGTTAAATTAAAAATTTATCTACGTAACATCCATATACAAATAATCTCTTAAAGCCAGGTTAATTTGTCATTATTAATCATGTAGAAATTAGGACTGTTAGCTCTAGTTTATATCCCTATAATGTCGCATATTGTAAACTATGGAACCCAGCTGTGATCTTTTTGTAATCTTCAGCCTTCATCCTCGACTTCTTGCATTTTCGCGTTTGAAACCCCTTGCCTTTCTCGACTTGCAGCCCTTCTGCTTCTCACCTCTCGACTACTCGCTCCAGTTTAAGATGCATTATGTACCAGTTAAATCTGTCTACTGCAGGAAATTATTTTGGCTTCAAATGTTATATAAATTTTTATTCAGACATTTATTCACATGCCAAGCCTATAATCAATTTTCTAGAGCACTCGGTGGTGCACATGTAAAAGGACAGAAATACGATAGCCATTTAATGATTTACTTTAAAAATGGGGAAGCGAGACTGAGTCTCCATGACCATGTAACGTTGCTATCAAAATAAACCTATGCCAAAACTTCAAACAGTGATAGCGATTTCAGAATAAAGTAATTTGACTGAAATTTCGATATATTAATTTTCAATTATCTATTTTGGAACTATTATAGCAATTACAACCAGCTCTTTATCTAAATCTTGATCTTTATCTTCAAACAGGATATAATATAGCACCTTGAAAAATGTCCACTCGCTAATTTGATCTACACAAAATTATAACCGGAAATCTCCAGAAAAAATACAAGCAAAAAAAAGTGTATATATAATCTTCACAGCTAAAATCTTTTTTTTTCTTTATATCTACTGTTTGTTCTACAAATTGAAAACAGGTATGGCGACTGCTTAGGGCGTTAACTTTTTTTTTTATTTAATTATTTCTGTAGTTTTGTAATCAAAATTCAGCTTTAATAATAAATAGGTTTTCGTGACCATTTGTTCCGGAGTTATGCCCCCTTAGCCAAAACCGTTGTGAATGTGATAGCGGCTAACATGGTTTTCAAATTTGGTGGGCAACATTGATTCCATGAGCGTACGAACACTGTCAGTATTTAACGTCGCTATAGAAAACACATCACTTTTTTTTCCCAAATATTTTATTACTAGGTGGTTTTGTATGTATAATATTATGCAATACTATAAACTATTGTTTCACACAATGCTCCCAAACACAAAAAATATCGGCCCGTGTGCAAAAAAAAAAATTGCACAAGATGCACATGAAAAACCCAATATTCACGTGCAGCATTGTGTGTGAGCCCTTTAAAAGCATGTTTTCAACTTAATGTGCAGTACATGAACTGTGAAACGTCAATCTTGGACGTGTGAAGAAATCGAGCTAGAGATGCCGAGACTTACTGAAAATCAACGGAATGAAGCCATGGGAATGTCCAGGGCTGGCATGTCTACACGTGCTATTGCCAGACACTCCAATTGTCATCAGTCCACTAACGTCTTGGTCAACAACGCGTTACAACCCAGACTCAAGACCGCTACATCCGGACCAGTAAGTGCCAACACCGTAAGACGTCGTCTAAGAGAAGTAGGACTGCGACCCTATGTTGGAGCTATCCTCAGGGATCATCACCGTCAGCGGCGTTTGATATGGGCTCAAGGACATCAGACATGGAGAAGAGTAGACTGGCAAAGTGTGCTCTTCAGTGATGAGAGTCGCTTTTATGTTTATCACGCTGATGGCCGTCAACGTGTGTGGAGACGTCTTGGGAAACGTCTTGCAGACTGCTGCGTCTCCGAAACGGATCGATGGGGTGGGGAAAGTGTAATGGTGTGGGGAGGCTTCACATTTCATCACCGGACCGCCCTACACATTTGCAGGGGTCGTACTTTTGGTTTTGACCCCTCTGACTTTGTACCCTTGATTACAGATTAAACATCCATCAGTGTAGAAATGTGTTGTTATTGATGTGTTCCCATTTGAATATTATTCACAATAAGAAGCAAAATAAATAAGATATGTTTACAGGATCATTTTGTTATACGAAAAACTAAGTGATGCGTTTTCAATGGCGCTCAGTATATAATCTTTCAATTCCAAGTTACCCCACCTTTATTGAAAACCATCTTAACGATTTAGAGGGTACAGTTTTTAACATATTTTTTTCGATGTGAAATATTGGGACAATGAGACAAAGAGCCATACTGATATTCCCAATTCTCTGTCCATGTTTTTTTCAAAATGTGGGCGTATCGTGCATGACTACTGTAAAAATATCGGGAGCAAAAATGCATTTTGGTATAAAATTCTATAAACTAAGTACCTGTACTCTTTTTACTTTCTGAAGATCCAATGTAGTATACTTCCTGTTCGTCATATTTTCTCTGTTCGTTCTCTTGGAGTTTGGACGATAAGGCTTTTATTTGCAACTGCAAGGTTTGGTTTTCATTCTCAAGGTCGGCTTTTCTTTCGTTAGAGTTTTCCTCATCTTAAAAATATAATTTTAATAACATGTTTTAATAAATACTTTTTAAAGCGAGAACTCGTGTAGGGTTAAATTAAAAATTTATCTACGTAACATCCATATACAAATAATCTCTTAAAGCCAGGTTAATTTGTCATTATTAATCAGCTTTTTGTTGAATAATGTAGAAATTAGGACTGTTAGCTCTAGTTTATATCCCTATAATGTCGCATATTGTAAACTATGGAACCCAGCTGTGATCTTTTTGTAATCTTCAGCCTTCATCCTCGACTTTTTGCATTTTCGCGTTTGAAACCCCTTGCCTTTCTCGACTTGCAGCCCTTCTGCTTGTCACCTCTCGACTACTCGCTCCAGTTTAAGATGCATTATGTACCAGTTAAATCTGTCTACTGCAGGGAATTATTTTGGCTTCAAATGTTATATAAATTTTTATTCAGACATTTATTCACATGCCAAGCCTATAATCAATTTTCTAGAGCACTCGGTGGTGCACATGTAAAAGGACAGAAATACGATAGCCATTTAATGATTTACTTTAAAAATGGGGAAGCGAGACTGAGTCTCCATGACCATGTAACGTTGCTACCAAAATAAACCTATGCCAAAACTTCAAACAGTGATAGCGATTTCAGAATAAAGTAATTTGACTGAAATTTCGATATATTAATTTTCAATTATCTATTTTGGAACTATTATAGCAATTACAACCAGCTCTTTATCTAAATCTTGATCTTTATCTTCAAACAGGATATAATATAGCACCTTGAAAAATGTCCACTCGCTAATTTGATCTACACAAAATTATAACCGGAAATCTCCAGAAAATATACAAGCAAAAAAAAGTGTATATATAATCTTCACAGCTAAAATCTTTTTTTTTCTTTATATCTACTGTTTGTTCTACAAATTGAAAACAGGAAAACAGGTATGGCGACTGCTTAGGGCGTTAACTTTTTTTTTTATTTAATTATTTCTGTAGTTTTGTAATCAAAATTCAGCTTTAATAATAAATAGGTTTTCGTGACCATTTGTTCCGGAGTTATGCCCCCTTAGCCAAAACCGTTGTGAATGTGATAGCGGCTAACATGGTTTTCAAATTTGGTGTGCAACATTGATTCCATGAGCGTACGAACACTGTCAGTATTTAACGTCGCCATAGAAAACACATCACTTTTTTTTCACAAATATTTTATTACTAGGTGGTTTTGTATGTATAATATTATGCAATACTATGAACTATTGTTTCACACAATGCTCCCAAACACAAAAAATATCGGCCCGTGTGCAAAAAAGAAATTGCACAAGATGCACATGAAAAACCCAATATTCACGTGCAGCATTGTGTGTGAGCCCTTGAAAAGCATGTTTTCAACTTAATGTGCAGTACATGAACTGTGAAACGTCAATCTTGGACGTGTGAAGAAATCGAGCTAGAGATGCCGAGACTTACTGAAAATCAACGGAATGAAGCCATGGGAATGTCCAGGGCTGGCATGTCTACACGTGCTATTGCCAGACACTCCAATTGTCATCAGTCCACTATTGTAAGTTGGTGGAACGTGTTCGAGTTACTGGATCAACACGTGACCGTCAACGTCTTGGTCAACAACGCGTTACAACCCAGACTCAAGACCGCTACATCCGGACCAGTAAGTGCCAACACCATAAGACGTCGTCTAAGAGAAGTAGGACTCAGTGCACGACGACCCTATGTTGGAGCTATCCTCGGGGATCATCACCGTCAGGGGCGTTTGATATGGGCTCAAGGACATCAGACATGGAGAAGAGTAGACTGGCAAAGTGTGCTCTTCAGTGATGAGAGTCGCTTTTATGTTTATCACGCTGATGGCCGTCAACGTGTGTGGAGACGTCTTGGGGAACGTCTTACAGACTGCTGCGTCTCCGAAACGGATCGATGGGGTGGGGAAAGTGTAATGGTGTGGGGAGGCTTCACATTTCATCACCGGACCGCCCTACACATTTGCAGGGGTCGCGTTAATGCTGTAGCCTACCGTGATGATGGCCCGTGGAGGACACACGCGCTACTGACATCTGTGTCGTACTTTTGGTTTTGACCCCTCTGACTTTGTACCCTTGATTACAGATTAAACATCCATCAGTGTAGAAATGTGTTGTTATTGATGTGTTCCCATTTGAATATTATTCACAATAAGAAGCAAAATAAATAAGATATGTTTACAGGATCATTTTGTTATACGAAAAACTAAGTGATGCGTTTTCAATGGCGCTCAGTATATAATCTTTCAATTCCAAGTTACCCCACCTTTATTGAAAACCATCTTAACGATTTAGAGGGTACAGTTTTTAACATATTTTTTTCGATGTGAAATATTGGGACAATGAGACAAAGAGCCATACTGATATTCCCAATTATCTGTCCATGTTTTTTTCAAAATGTGGGCGTATCGTGCATGACTACTGTAAAAATATCGGGAGCAAAAATGCATTTTGGTATAAAATTCTATAAACTAAGTACCTGTACTCTTTTTACTTTCTGAAGATCCAATGTAGTATGACTCCACTGGACATTCCAAATATACTTCCTGTTCGTCATATTTTCTCTGTTGAACAAGTAGTTGTACTTTACAAAGAATCTGTTCGTTCTCTTGGAGTTCGGACGATAAGGCTTTTATTTGCAACTGCAAGGTTTGGTTTTCATTCTCAAGGTCGGCTATTCTTTCGTTAGAGTTTTCCTCATCTTAAAAATACAATTTTAATAACATGTTTTAATAAATACTTTTTAAAGCGAGAACTCGTGTAGGGTTAAATTAAAAATTTATCTACGTAACATCCATATACAAATAATCTCTTAAAGCCAGGTTAATTTGTCATTATTAATCAGCTTTTTGTTGAATAATGTAGAAATTAGGACTGTTAGCTCTAGTTTATATCCCTATAATGTCGCATATTGTAAACTATGGAACCCAGCTGTGATCTTTTTGTAATCTTCAGCCTTCATCCTCGACTTCTTGCATTTTCGCGTTTGAAACCCCTTGCCTTTCTCGACTTGCAGCCCTTCTGCTTCTCACCTCTCGACTACTCGCTCCAGTTTAAGATGCATTATGTACCAGTTAAATCTGTCTACTGCAGGGAATTATTTTGGCTTCAAATGTTATATAAATTTTTATTCAGACATTTATTCACATGCCAAGCCTATAATCAATTTTCTAGAGCACTCGGTGGTGCACATGTAAAAGGACAGAAATACGATAGCCATTTAATGATTTACTTTAAAAATGGGGAAGCGAGACTGAGTCTCCATGACCATGTAACGTTGCTACCAAAATAAACCTATGCCAAAACTTCAAACAGTGATAGCGATTTCAGAATAAAGTAATTTGACTGAAATTTCGATATATTCATTTTCAATTATCTATTTTGGAACTATTATAGCAATTACAACCAGCTCTTTATCTAAATCTTGATCTTTATCTTCAAACAGGATATAATATAGCACCTTGAAAAATGTCCACTCGCTAATTTGATCTACACAAAATTATAACCGGAAATCTCCAGAAAAAATACAAGCAAAAAAAAGTGTATATATAATCTTCACAGCTAAAATCTTTTTTTTTCTTTATATCTACTGTTTGTTCTACAAATTGAAAACAGGAAAACAGGTATGGCGACTGCTTAGGGCGTTAACTTTTTTTTTTATTTAATTATTTCTGTAGTTTTGTAATCAAAATTCAGCTTTAATAATAAATAGGTTTTCGTGACCATTTGTTCCGGAGTTATGCCCCCTTAGCCAAAACCGTTGTGAATGTGATAGCGGCTAACATGGTTTTCAAATTTGGTGGGCAACATTGATTCCATGAGCGTACGAACACTGTCAGTATTTAACGTCGCTATAGAAAACACATCACTTTTTTTTCCCAAATATTTTATTACTAGGTGGTTTTGTATGTATAATATTATGCAATACTATAAACTATTGTTTCACACAATGCTCCCAAACACAAAAAATATCGGCCCGTGTGCAAAAAAAAAAATTGCACAAGATGCACATGAAAAACCCAATATTCACGTGCAGCATTGTGTGTGAGCCCTTTAAAAGCATGTTTTCAACTTAATGTGCAGTACATGAACTGTGAAACGTCAATCTTGGACGTGTGAAGAAATCGAGCTAGAGATGCCGAGACTTACTGAAAATCAACGGAATGAAGCCATGGGAATGTCCAGGGCTGGCATGTCTACGCGTGCTATTGCCAGACACTCCAATTGTCATCAGTCCACTAACGTCTTGGTCAACAACGCGTTACAACCCAGACTCAAGACCGCTACATCCAGACCAGTAAGTGCCAACACCGTAAGACGTCGTCTAAGAGAAGTAGGACTGCGACCCTATGTTGGAGCTATCCTCAGGGATCATCACCGTCAGCGGCGTTTGATATGGGCTCAAGGACATCAGACATGGAGAAGAGTAGACTGGCAAAGTGTGCTCTTCAGTGATGAGAGTCGCTTTTATGTTTATCACGCTGATGGCCGTCAACGTGTGTGGAGACGTCTTGGGGAACGTCTTGCAGACTGCTGCGTCTCCGAAACGGATCGATGGGGTGGGGAAAGTGTAATGGTGTGGGGAGGCTTCACATTTCATCACCGGACCGCCCTACACATTTGCAGGGGTCGTACTTTTGGTTTTGACCCCTCTGACTTTGTACCCTTGATTACAGATTAAACATCCATCAGTGTAGAAATGTGTTGTTATTGATGTGTTCCCATTTGAATATTATTCACAATAAGAAGCAAAATAAATAAGATATGTTTACAGGATCATTTTGCTATACGAAAAACTAAGTGATGCGTTTTCAATGGCGCTCAGTATATAATCTTTCAATTCCAAGTTACCCCACCTTTATTGAAAACCATCTTAACGATTTAGAGGGTACAGTTTTTAACATATTTTTTTCGATGTGAAATATTGGGACAATGAGACAAAGAGCCATACTGATATTCCCAATTCTCTGTCCATGTTTTTTTCAAAATGTGGGCGTATCGTGCATGACTACTGTAAAAATATCGGGAGCAAAAATGCATTTTGGTATAAAATTCTATAAACTAAGTACCTGTACTCTTTTTACTTTCTGAAGATCCAATGTAGTATACTTCCTGTTCGTCATATTTTCTCTGTTCGTTCTCTTGGAGTTTGGACGATAAGGCTTTTATTTGCAACTGCAAGGTTTGGTTTTCATTCTCAAGGTCGGTCATTCTTTCGTTAGAGTTTTCCTCATCTTAAAAATACAATTTTAATAACATGTTTTAATAAATACTTTTTAAAGCGAGAACTCGTGTAGGGTTAAATTAATAATTTATCTACGTAGCATCCATATACAAATAATCTCTTAAAGCCAGATTAATTTGTCATTATTAATCAGCTTTTTGTTGAATAATGTAGAAATTAGGACTGTTAGCTCTAGTTTATATCCCTATAATGTCGCATGTTGTAAACTATGGAACCCAGCTGTGATCTTTTTGTAATCTTCAGCCTTCATCCTCGACTTCTTGCATTTTCGCGTTTGAAACCCCTTGCCTTTCTCGACTTGCAGCCCTTCTGCTTCTCACCTCTCGACTACTCGCTCCAGTTTCGCTTTGAGAATTCGAGAAAATATCATGGCATCAACGGGCATCCATACTACCACAGTAAACAAACCTATTTTATGTAGCCTGCCAATTTAAGAATTAGAGTTTTAATGGGAAATGTTTTAACTCCTTGCAAAGGTTGGTGGTGGTTGTGTATTATAAATAATTAAGAATATCACGTCTATAATAATAGCTTAATCCATTGTGTTTCAATTGACAATGATTCGCAACAGGTTTTCGAAAGCCAAGGATAGTTTAGGTAATATTTTGTTCAGTCGTTACCAACCTTCTTCGAGTTCTGTTTCTAATTCAGCAATATGTTGTAGCAATCTCATATTAAACCCCTGCAATTGCTCAATCTTTCGTTTTTGTTGATTAAAAGTTTCCTGTGTTACGAGTTGCGAATCGTGAACGCCATTGCCGTCAGTGTCCATTTCCTCGCCATTGCCTTTGTTGTAAAAAGAGATGAAATTACAATCATATGTCAATTATTATGCCATACATACAAACAACAAATTACATCAAAGTACAAGAATATGATTAGAAATCAATTTGGGTGATATGCAAATATATGAAACAAAAAGGTCAGTAATCAATGAATACCTCTTTCAATTTTCTTAAATGAAAATCCTTCTGTAGATACTTTGCTATCACCAATGTATCCAGATTTCACCTTGGATTCTAAAACTTCACGAAGTTCGCGTTCATTCTTTGAACCCAGTGATAGCAGATGAAACGTTACCTGAACACAGCCCTTCCTGTAAAAGATTATTTTAACAAATTAATATGGAAGTACCCTGAATAAGAGTATTACGAAAACCTGAGACCATAAGCCCAGGGTTAATTAAGAGGCATGAAGCTTCTATTACGAGATTAAATGCATACCATACAGCTTTTGAAGTTTCCATTTTCCATAATTCTGCCAAATGTCTTACCACTCACCGACAGGAACTGTCAATATTAATTATCCTTTTTTTTGCCTATATGTCTTATGAAATCAACTAAATTAAGGATAAGCAGAATGTGAATACCTATAACATATTTCCTTGCCGTCACTGTTTTGCTATACTCAAGGCCTTACTGACAGAAAAATGCTCCTGTTTAGGTCTGAAGGCTCTGATTAGGTCACGTGCTTTCTGACACCACATCAATTATCGTGACTTGCAAAGCTATGACTTTAACCGGACTTTATTCCGTCTAAATCGAATGCATTCTCGTCGTTCCGGACTGACAATTGGACACCCGCATATAGTCAGAGTCGGCTCATTATACTTACCTTAATGTTGTAATGACTACTAACTCCGTTGAATCAAATATTTCTTCTAATTCTAATTCTACCTTTTTGATAAACTCTTCACGTTTTGGATGGTCTTTTGTGATCAATTCATGATACTGGTGACCAGGATATTTAATGATGCCCTCAAACACTTCTGACAAATAAAGGTAAGAAACGTTGTTGAAATTTTAATTTTGTATAGTATGACCCTTAATATATTTTCAGTAAATATTGCATGAATTCAATCACTACAGGATGTTCAGGTGTATTTTACGGCCAGAAGTAATGCTTAATACTACCTGGTTCTGGCGGTGCGCCTGTTACAGGACGTTCAAGTGTATTTTACGGCCAGAAGTAATGCTTAATACTACTGTGTTCTGGTGGTGCGCCTGTTACAGGACTTCAGGTGTATTTTACTGCCAGAAGTAATGCTTAATACTATTTGGTCCTGGTGATGAGCGGGTTACGTTTTTTTATATATATATGTATTGCAATAATAAGCCAGGAAGTCGAATAGCCCGTTAATTCTAAACACTTCAGGAAAATTATGTATGCATAATTGCCACATCTAAGTAACATGTATACCATTTCCTCGGTGCACCTTCCCTTGCTCTCATTCTTTAGTATTATCCTAAGTTTTTCAGCTTCATCTTCGTTGATGAGAAACTTTGAAAACAGCATGGTAATTAGATTATTTGGATATAATTGTTCAATAAGATACGGCATTAGGACAATAAACTTCATTCGATCTTCCTTTGCCATCCTACCACTTCTTTTCGTCAACGGTATTACAACTGTAACAAACAACAAGATACTCTTTCTGAACAATATATCTTGCACGGCTTAATCCACGTTCAAAATATACTCTTCAAAAAATGAAACGCACAGCCCATATTTCATCATTTTCTTATTTGAACCGGACCATTGTTTCCATAAATCTAACTTGTTTTTAATGTCATTATGTAAGGATAACAGAAATTCATTATTGGTTTTCAATGTAGGGTAACTAATTGTGACTGGTCATACTTTTTGCCGAAATTTGTTTTTGCTTGATTGCACAAAGACACATGAGTTTCACAACGTCACAAACATTTCACATGAAACCCAAATCTAAGGCCTTTAAAATGCCGGGGTTCTCGGTTTCAAAATCAGTTGTACATGTTGCCAAGTGATACCACATCTGAACGAAGACCAACGCAACAACGTTAACAGTTAGTGATAAGCAGGTGAATCCCAGATAGATGTAGCCAGGCTGCTGAATCTTTCAAAGAGTACCTTTGGGATAGGTACCGTCAGCGAAGTTCAACACGTGACCGCCCAAGCCCAGGCCAGACAAGAGTAAACCCACCTGTCATTTGCGGAGACAATTCACAACAGCGACCTCTACTACAGCAGTAATTCCTGGACGGCGGAGGATCTCAGACCAGACAGTCCATAAACGCCTACGTGAAACCGGATTACGAGCCAGACGTCCCGAGCCGACACCGTCAAATCCGAATTCAATGGGTTCAGACACACAGGGTATGGCAATAGCAACGCTGGAGAACAGCTTGGTTCAGCGACGATTCGCGGTTCCGGTTCCTGTTGCAACGAGGGGGGTTGGATGGCTGAATGGTTAGCGTGCGCGCGCTGTATCATAAAGTCTATCATTGAGTCGACTGGCGTGGTTTCGAATCCCCGGTTGTACGTGACAAGGAGTAGGGTCGCCTGTCCAACCTCGTGGGTTTTCTCCGGGTCCTCCGGTTTCCGCCCACTGCTAAAGACCCCTACGCGCAAGCGAATTATTGAAATAAAATTAAACCATATCTTAGTCCCGAAATGACCTAGTTTGTGTCGAGTGGACGTTAAACCCCATTTCTCTCTCCCTCTCCTGTTGCAACGAGGCAATGCTAGAGCGAGGGTATACCGACGACGAAATGTCACTATGCGTTTCTTTTTTTGAAGAGTATAAAATCAGATGCTTGCATTGAAAGAAAACAAAATCATTTTACATTCATAATATATTTTTGATTACTGGAGTAACAATTCCTTGCAAACTAGATCTATACATCATTCTAAACCTATACATTATTACTAATTGATGCATTTCTGGAATGTCGATGTTGAAAAAATCAGACGCAAGTCTTGACACATTTTGTTGTGCTATTGTGGACACATAGTTAATATTCAGAATAGTTTTGTATTTTAGAATATACAATTATTTTTTTAAATAGCTTTATACATTTAAATCATTAGTTAAAGGGCATTGAACCCCATTTCATTTCATTTCTAATTAATAGTTTATATAACATTTGAGGCATAAAGGAAGACCTACAATAGACAGATTTAGTACTTAAATAATGCACCTTTAGCTTATTTTTTGAATAAGCCTCAAAGTTCACATAACAAGCTTCAAATCTCAGGTAATGCTGATAAAATGCCAAATAATTGATTGTGAAAAACGGAAACGGTATTTTTAAAGTTTTGGCACATAATGATTATCAATAAAATCTTACCGGTTTGAGAACCTGATTTAACTTCGTTTGTTCTACCCTTTACTTGTTTTAACCTTTCGTTTTCTTGTTTTAGTTTTTCATTTTCTTGCTTCAGCTTTTTATTTTCCTCTGCCAGATTTGGTCCAATAGCATCCCTGGGTTTATTTCCATGAAATACATATTGTACATGTATATATTCGTCGAGCTCTTCAGCAGTTTCTCTCTCCTCGTGCTTCGGTTCCGCGGTGTTTTGTAGTAGATCCGATTTCCCAGTGGTCGGTACACATGATTCTACCTGGCCGCCATCACACATTCCTGGATTATTACAAAGTAAATGAGCACATGTTGTAATTCCATCGCATTTAGCAGATCGATGTTCCAATGGGAAATTTTGAGATTCTTCAATTCTCATTTGTGTATTAAATTTTATCGCCAAATGACCATTTTCTTTTTTACCAGTGAACGATGCTAGGCCTGACTTGGCTGAGTTTCCTTCTGAACTGCATTTCCTCACTGGTTTATCCATTCCTTGGTGATTGTATTGAAAAGCGTGTTTCGATTGAACAGATCTGCCATCTTTAGGTGTGATGTGTGAGGAATAGTCGTCTACAGAGCATCCAGTATCGTTAATATCCGGTTCTTGTCTTTGTTCCTTATATTCTCCCATATTACGTTGTTTTATAAGAAAACATGGGAATGTACGACTAGATTTGAAATGAGTCGGTCTGAAAAGTAACAGCAGATGATAGTGAGTGATTAATCAGTTAACACCTTATTATAGTTCTTGTCTAATATAGAAAACTCTACAGAGAACACTTTACCAAACATTACAGTATGACTCTAATTTACAACACACTATATTATACAAAACATCAAAACATTGCAGTAGGACTTTATATATGCCATACAAAATAGTACAACCTGACTTTCTATCACCACGCTATCGTGGCGTTATTTCACAACACTATAAATAGATTTTTATTAACTGGGAATAAGTCATTTGTTAACTATGGTGTACAAGCGACCCTACGTAATTCGAATGAAAATTTTATTTCATATGCTTTGCCTTTATTAAAATGTCTCTCCGCCTGGCATGTCTCAGTTGTGGCATTCAATCATAGAGTTGACCCCTGACAATACCCAAACTCATCTGTAGATAATGACACCGCTCCAGACAAATGATGCGCTTCTTGTGAAATCTTTCCGAAATCTTTCATAATGTTCTATTCACTTTTCAATAATTTAACTACAGAGAGGTTCACTTTCGAACATTTTTAGATGTAATGAAGATATATTTTCATTGTAAGCGGCGAATAATTACCGAGTGAATTTTCGTCTTGTGTCTTACGGCAAATGGTTCTACTTTGTGTATAATTCCTCCCACTACCCAAAAAAACCCTACGCGCGAGCGAATTATTGAATATATAATTGAACCATATGTTAGTCCTGAAATGACCTAGTTAGTGTCGAGTGGACGTTAAACTCCCATCCCTCTCTCCCTCTCTTCAATACAGACGTGTATATGATAATCACAATCCCATGCTAGTAGACTAAGAACCGTCGCAAATTTTGAACACTGGTGTCCAAACCCGTGAAACTGTGGGTGGGTTGATGACAGCCCGGACAGATAAAATATAAATTGAATGTCGGTTATTTAATATGCCAACGTTTTCTTTCTCTGTCAGCGCAGATAAGCTGTTGATCTCGCCTTTTGAAGACAAGTGTTAAAATCTAGCCTCGATCCCTAATAATATCTACAAGTACAACATGTTTTAGGTAATTACCATACCAATAATACTCTTTGTATGGGAACATAAATATTAATCTGTATATAGAAATATAGCCAGGGAAGTATCGATTTTAGTGTTCTATATTGTACAATGTGTTAGAATTGGTTCACTGGCTGTGTATATACACTATGTTCATAATGTGTAGACATTAATAAACACACGCTATCCTTCTAGACTGCATGTATACATACATACACACCTTATGCT